TTCAGGACTTTCCGCTGCTCCGATAACTGCACCGCTTTGGAACTGAAACGTAAGTGAAAATCGGCTGCCAAGGCGCACTCGATTTATACGAGTCGTTTGTTCAGTTCGTGCCTCCAGAGTTCGTATCAAAGTGGACGAGGATTCGAAAGATTTCAACGCAATGTATAAATCTGTATATGTGTGTGTGTGTGCGTGTGTGTGTGTGTGCGTGTGTTCTTTCAGGTAAATAGCGACGACACGAGTAACCAAACGAACGCCCACGACATTGATGTTGCCCATGCAAGATTATGCGCAGTCATTGTTGGACCACACGTCGTATGAGCAATGTGCAACACGTGGTACGCGGCCAGAGCCACGGGTATTTAGCAGAGTGCGTTATTTTATCGGTTTATCAGACAGCAATTACGCACAATTAGCGCTCGCCTCACACACAGTGTGTCACGCGATCTTATCAGCTAATCAGCGAATCACTCTAATCAGCCACAGATTATTTTCAATTAGTTGCACATATATTTGGCAGCCGTCAGCTAAAATCTAATATATAAATCCTTGGCTCTTCGCACTACAAAATGGCCATTGGCTTATTAATTCATCGGCAAGAGGGGGGAGTTGGCTTTATAGCACTCTTATCTAATTAGTTTTATACAATATGCTGCATATTTTAGCCTACATTATCAACCGACAGGCGTACACGTGGTTTTCATGCTTTTCCGCAGTGACTTTCGAAATGTCAAATAATTTATTTATTTATTTTACTCGTAGTATTTAGAGAAGGTCATGGTGAGTTTTAGTAGGCTTCACGGTTTTCTTTATATGCGCTGTGCGTATAGATTCGAACTTTTCAAGAGGATTTAGAAAGTGCTTCTAATAGATTACTCGGAAATATTGCAAGGTTTAGAGTCAACAGGAAAACAAATCTTGTTCAAAATCTCAGTTTAAGCTAAATTTTAGCCCAAACTTACTTAGCACTTTCTGATATGAATCATATTCTCTGTTCTATGCTGTTATTTAGTTTATTTTCTCCATTTTTGAGCTGCATGATGTTATGAAGTAAGTATATCATTTATCTTTGCTTGAATGATTCCTTTAACCAAATTTGATTACTCTTGCCTTCAGGTCTCTAGCTCATACAGGTCTGAGCGCTCTCAAGCATACGAGCAGGACGACGAACAGACAGATCAACGGGGTGGGGTCAGGTCAGCGGTTGACCAAATCAAACAAAATTAATAATACCTTTTAATATATAGAAATAATATTATTTATATATTTACAATTTACTTAACTTAGCCGAATCAAATTTTTCAAATTCATAAATCCTGGAAATCAGCTTAGCTCTTCCCGAAAAACAGCAAAATGAAGCAGCTTGAATCTGAATAATAAGAATAACTCTTTAATAATTTCCAAAATAATAATCCTAAAGCTCTCTACTTGCCGACCATGTGAACGAATTACAATATTTTCCATGTTGAGAATCGAGCTTAATAAATGTCCATACACTTATGGGCGCATTCACTTCGAGAATAACTGTGAATATTCAAATACATATTTTTTTTTCCTTGTCAACTGAAATTATAGATCAGAAGTGAGCCGCAACGAATAATAAAAGCTTTTTTGTATATACATATATAAGAATTAATTCGACTTACTCAAATGCTTGCATGAGTACACAATTGTTTAGAGTATTTATATTTTTCTATAAATATATATATATATATTTATTGTGTACATGTAAACGGTCCATTGAAACATAAAATTATTCAATTTAAGACATTCCTTTTAATTAATATTTGTATATTTTAGTTAACTTGACTTTGGAGATATAAAATATATTACTGAAATGACCAAGAAAACAAAAACGGAATTCAAACAGCTGAGTCCAAATGCGATAAAAATAAAATATATGTATATACAAATATATGTACATATATATTATTTCATAGGGTATTTCTTTGTTGTCTGATAATGAATAAATGATGATATACATACATATATTGTGTGCGTTTGTTAAAGCTTTAACCCAAAGGTGATAAGCATTAATTGATATGAATTATATAAGTATTTAAAAAATTCATTATGCAGCTTAAGCTTTTCTTAAATGCAGTCTAAAATATTAGACGGGATAGTGGCTTTCGAGTATTAAATGTTAAGTAAATAGTAATCATTATAATGAAATAGTGCATAATATTAATGTAAGTAAGGTATTTAGCATATCAAACATATATATTCTTGATCAGCGTATTTGTTTGCTTATATATCTGTTCGTATGTGTATCTGTCTCTCTCCCTGTCTACCTCATAGTCTGTCTCTCCGTTTGTGAGTTTAACAAGAGCTAGGGACGAAGAAGAAGTACCGAAGATCATTTAAGTTATCTATATGTATGCCGCAGTTTTCTTTTGATATTTATATTTGAGCAAATCGAAACCATTGGTCATTTAAAGGTCGACTATAAAGGGCAACAGCTGCAGCATTTCTTCGGTCGCGCAGGCCTGGTAAAGGTCAGTCGTGCAGTGCAGTAAAGTGAAGTGAAGTGAAGTGAATAATTAAAAGAGTGACTTGGAAGAAATGTTTGCGTTCAGCTAAGCAATTAAGAAGGAATATTTAGAAGAATTACTTAGAGAAAATACATGCAGCTAAGCATTCGAGGCAAAAATTTAGAAGAAATATTCGGAGGAAACACTTAGAGGAAATACTTGGAGGAAAGATTTAGGTAGAATTGTGTGATCGTTTAGCTAAGCATTTACGAGTCAGAGGAAATACTTAGAAGAAATATGTCATCGTTCAGCTAAGCATTAAAGACTTACAGGAAATACTTGGAGTAAATACTTAGACGAAATTATATAAAATAAAAATGTGTCTATAAATTTCAAAGTCTTAAATTGAAGTCTAGTTTCTAAGCTCGATAATATTACACACATGTTCATTTCTACAAGACTTAAAGGATCATGAATTCGAATTTGGAAAATTGATCTACGAAACATAATTATTATTGTAATGTTTATAGAGACAATATTAGAATTAAATAATGACAAAATCTAAAAAATGTTCCCCAATATTTAAAATAGGAAATATTTGAATAAATCTCAATGCAATCCTTAATCAGACATGCTCAGCGCATGCTCATAACATTTGTCTTTCTTTATGACAACAGGAGGGAGTTGACGGCCCACGGATGAATGATAATGCGACTGATAAAAGCTTTGCAATGTTATTTTTCGACGTGGTCAGCGTAGTCAATTGTCCATAAACGTAGCGAAACGTGATTTAAATCTCTGGAGTATAGTGATGGCCTACACCTAATAGAACCTGCATGTCTACATAAATGAGTGTGTGTGCGTAACTGAGAGGTCTCACATTATCAAGTGTAAAAGTTGTGTGAATGAACATAAGACTAATTGGGTAACATAACTTGTGCCAGTACAAGGTCGCATTTGGTCTGGGTCTTCACATCTCGTTTTGCATAGGATAATCACAACTTTGCGACCTTTTGACCTTTGATTTGTGGTAGCTAAAGATAGCTCAAGACGTCAGAGCAGTCGTTCATCATCCATCAGCCTACTTCAAAGAGCCATGCAAACATTCTTGATAAGCTCTACCAAATTTATGTATTAAATGTATTTTATGCACGCGTAGGTCAAATATTATGGAAATCTCCTGTCGTCTGTCGTCTGATGTCCATCGTTCACTGCAAAAAGGAGTGCATTTCACTTTACCAGGACACGGAACGCCCGTGGCGACAGTGCTTGCATATTTTGTTAAATAGCTATCAAAATGTTCTTATATGGAGGAACGTTAGCACAAAGCCAAAGTCAAAGCTAAAGCCAGAGTCGTGGCATGCCATGTCGATAGCATGTTAGCAATTCCCAACAAATTTTCAGAGCATCAATTGTCCATATATTTCAATATTACTATATATATATATATATATATATATATATATATATATGTATTTATATATGCATATATTTAACGTCATATGGCGCTGTAAAAGCGTCAACAAAAACATTATTCAAGTCGATTTTTATTGAACTTAAATGTTCGGTCAATTTCCGTTTGTAAACATTAATTTTTATGTCACATACACTTGCCGAGCGAAGCGAAAAAAAAACTGCCCTTTATGTAAGCCAAGTTTCATAAATCGATTCATTTAACACTTAAAAAAAAAGATTTAATTACATGCAATTAGAGTTTTTAATTTATATCAAATTATATTTTATTTAGCTGCATATAGTATATTTTATCTAATTTCTATATAGACCAATCAATTGATCTTTAAAATTTAATAACAAAATATAAATAAAGTATATATGAAAACATATTGTAAAATGCAACATATCATCATATTTATTTATTTTCTTACACTTTTTCCGTCTGTCGCAAACATCCTATTAATTTCATAATACCCAGTATGAAGGGCATAAATGGCAACACAAAAGATTATGAATAAAGATGACCTGTTGAATAAACATTCAGGTACGAGAATATTGTGCATATGCGCATTTGCAATAATAGTTTTTTTTTTTTTTATTTTTTTTTTTTTTTTTTTTTTTTAGCACTAAAAAAAGAATGGTAATGAAAACAGAAACGGCCATTTCGTATTATCATTAATTAGATATTTATTAAATGCTCCGAAATGAGGAAAAAAAGTGTATGACTAATACTGACGACTTACCTCTCCTAGTATAGAGCACAAATATAGTATTTATTTTATATAGGCACACATACTTTATAGAATCCGCTACGCAAGTCTGAAGAAATACATTATAAATCCCATTTGGATTGGCTTCAGGATACAAAAAATCTCGATCCTTTAACTATCCCTCAAATTTATGAATATTTGTTAATAATAGTATATTTTGTATATATATATTTAATCAATTGTATTGCATTGTATTGACTGCAAAGTATATACAAAAATCAACGTTCTTACGTTAAATAATTGTTTATAATAGAGATAATGAAGTTTGTTTGCATTTTAAATAAAAAAGTAAAGAAAACTAATTCTATTCATCGTCATCATCCTCATCATCATTATCATCATCCTCATCATCGTTATCATCCTCATCCTCTTCATTATCATCATCATCATCATTCTCATCCTCTTCATTATCATCATCATCATCATCGTCCTCATCATCCTCATCCTCATCATCGTCTCCATCATCGTCGCCGTCGTCCTCACCATTATCTTTATTTTCTTCCTCTTCTTTGTCCGCTTTAACCTTATCAGATTCCACATTTTTACGTGCCTTTTTGGCCAGCACAATCGAGTCCTCCGGTACGTTGCCCTTATTCTCATCGTCCTTTGCATCCTCAGCTTTGAGTGCATTCCGCTTTAGACGAAGTTCAGCCTTACGCTTAACCTGATCATGCGTCAGCTTCACGAAATCAACATCCTTGGTGAGAGCAAATCTAGATAGCACTTCGTTTGCCTGCTTCTTCAATTTGAGCATCCGCTGCTCGCGTGGACCCACAACGTACGGCGTGTCCACGGGTGGGGCGCACAAGCTAATGTAGAGGGGCAGTGAAGAGGTTCCAACAATGTCGATTTTCAAATACATTGAACGTATGTTGGGTAGCCCACCAGGATACAGCTGCTGCAACTGTTTGACGACGCACAGCACATTCTCTGCAAGCTGCTGGCCGCTGTGCTCATGATTGCCGACTGGAATGGCTATTAGATCACCCTTCCGCAGCTGTCTGTAAGCAGTGCGGCAAAGACCACGCGATATCTCCTTGGGCAACTGATTGCTTTTGCTCAGACGCACGGAGTGCAACACATTACGTGGCTTCTGGGTGAACTACAGACGAAACGGGATCGTGATTAGAGCAGACGCAGACCCTATTAGACCGCAATTGTTACTTACGTTGCCGAGGAAGGCGGTAGCCTGACCCGAGATGCGTCCATCGCAGAGCAAATAGTCGTAGCTATTTAGGAACTTGCGCTTGGCTTCAAATGTAACCATATCATTGCGTAGCTGATTGAATGGCACAATCTTCAGGCGCTGCTCGATGCCAGCATCACGGAACAAATCCTCGTAGTGCTGCACCGTCGGCTCATAGTCGAAGCGAGCTCCACGCTGCAAGTCGGTCACAATAACTGCGACGTCATCATCCTTGCCCACTAGCGAGTGCTTCAGCGCCAACTTGACTATGCGCTTCGGGCAGCTGGGAATCTTATAGCAGGCCACCTGTAGAATATAGCGGTAATCGCTGAAGATGGGCTTCGACTTCAATTTCTGCACCTCCTCGCGCACCTGGCTCATCAGCGCGGAGCACACCTTTTCCACATTTTTCTCGCAGACAATTTCATTAAACTTATCCTCATCAAACGATTTCACTTCATATTTCAGTTCCACAACTTTCGGTTTCTTTTGCTTTACGTCTTTTTGCTTCTTTGAAATCTTTACTTTCTTGGCTTTCTTATTTGCAGACGCTGCCCCTATTTTACTGGCCAATTTAGTCTTAGTTTGATTCAAAACTTTTTTTGATGCTTTTGCATTTTTGGATACCTGGGGCTGCTTCTTGGCTTCGTCCTTTATGGCTGGGGCGACAGCCTGTTTAATTTGCTTTTTCTTTTCCTTGTTTTTAGCCACTTCTGCTTTTGCCTTCTGTTTTACCTCCGATTTCAATACTGGCTCACTTGCAGTCTTCTCAATCTTTGCTATTTTAGCTTTCTTGGGAGCAGGCGCAGCCACTGGGGTAGCATCTGGAGCAACTTTTTTAATTGCTTTCGTGGGTAATGCAGGCGTAGCCACTGAAACAGCCTTTTTGCTTGCTTTTGTGGGCAAAGCAGGCGTAGCCACTGAAGCAGCCTTTTTGCTTGTTTTTGTGGGCAAAGCAGGCGTAGCCACTGAAGCAGCCTTTTTGCTTGTTTTTGTGGGTAAAGCAATCGGCGATTTTGGAGGTGCAAGAACTAGGGGCCTCTTGGTCGACTTGGACTTCTGTGGGAGTTTTGCTTCTTCCAGCTTGGGCTCCGCTGCGACTTTTGGGTTCTTTCGCTCAGAACTCTTCTGGACATCCGACTTTATTGCTGAAATCTTTTTTCTGTCAACTTTAGTTTCGGCCGGTGCTAAGCCATTTGCTTTTGATGATTTCTTAATGGTTTTGTTTACTTTTTGTTTTTCTTTAATTACGCCATCACTTTTTGTGCTTTTCTTAAGAGTTTTCGGTTGTGGTTTTTGTACTTTCACCATGACTGCTTTTTATATTTAATAAAATTTACAATATACAAAACTCGCGAGCAACACGTGCAAGACCGCTTGAAATAATCGCCAGATGTATATTATCGATATCGACTGCGCAAATATCGCCGTAAATTTTTTCGATAATTATAAGTGATGCAAAATGAGTTGGATGAAGCGCGAAGATTTAAATTAGGAGCGCACCATTCTACAAAAAATAGTTCAAAAATTACTAGCGAGAAACGAGGAACGTTGCCATATACAAATAGAATTACTCAACTGCTACATTTAAGGCTGCGGCTATCCTAAAAATATCCCACATTTACTTTATTACACAAGCGGCTAATAATCATGTCCTTGGACAATGTTCACGCCCACGCGAACTTCAAAGTGGACGACGCATGGCATCTCCCATGGCGCCCCAATTTTAGTGTGCTCGCTAACCGCCATCCCAGCGGTAGCCGAATGTGTGCGACGTTTGACGGCACGTGACCGCTGCTTAGAGCATGTTTTTTGACGTCACGAATGGGGAAACCAATATAATCTTCGCTTGACAAATATAATTCACATTTACAAGTTTCTTTCCTTATATGTATTTACAATTTGAGTTTTTTCGCATTGACTTTGGATGTGTCCTTTTTGGGACGCTTGCCGCCAGCAGTTGCGGACGTGGACAATGTTTTGTCCTGTAGCTTATTGAAGAATGCCTTGGAGGATTTCAATGCGCTCTGATCATTGCTGGCGGTAATCTATAAAAGAAGAATAATTTCAATTAATATAACAAATATAAATCAGAGATTCAGAGATACTAGCCTTTTGTACATTGCGACTCTTTGTAATTGATTTGAGAAGCTTAGCATTTGCTTCCCGCTGGGTCGGCGCCTTGCCCTCCTTGGCCCGTTGCTGCTCACGCATTTCTATAGCCGTATTAATGGCACGCTGCTTCTGCTTCTTCTTTCGCCGTTCGCGATTCTTGTCGGTGCGTGTGCGTTCTGTCTTGCCCATCGGCGTGTGCTTGGGACCACGGAACACCTCCTCCGGAGCGAGCAATTTGGCATCACTAACTGCCAGAGGGGCAACCTCTTCCATGTGGATGGCGGGCGTGTTGGTGACGATCTTGACTTCGGGTGCAACCGGCTTGGGTGTGAAGTGGAAATTGGAGAGTGCATCCAGCTTGAGGAAGAGTGTGTGCATTGCTCGCTTAATTTCTTGATGTTCCTTCGGCTCAGGAGCCGCACTATCTGCGTCATCGCGATTGGGGTCTAATTTGTCCAGTTCTTGCTGGTATTGCTGCTCGTAGATTTGTGCCAGGGACTGCTTCGACTTCTCCTGATCAAGCACAAGTTGCTTTCGGTATTCTTGCGGTGTATGCACCGGCCGCACCGTACGCACCACATCGTCAAAGGCTCTATCGCGGATGCGCTGCTTTATTATATCCTCGATAGTCTGATTTTGTTCGTCTGTAATCGGAGCCGAAGGTCGAGTCGTTGAATCAAATTCGAGAATCTCCTCCAGCAGAGAGTTTTGGGGACGATTCGCTGCTTGCACTTCGCCTTTGAACTGCCACGGCTTCTCGCCAAGCACAATATCTTCATAGTCTCGAATGCGCTGCAAAAGTCTCGCCTCACGCAATTCATTTGACGACTGTGTTTGCATTTTGGATGATTCTGCCTCGTCCTCATCGTCATCTTCGTCCTCGTCCTCTGCCTTTCCCTTCTTTGAGTGGTTTGATTCGGAGTCGGAATCGCTTGCAGGCTGCACTCCACTTTGTGCCACAAAGTCATGTTCATCGATTTCGCTTGCTAGATCACCATCAGGTTCCAACTCATCCTGTTTTTCCGGTTCTACCCCGTTGTCCTCTTGATCATCTGGCTCACTGTCGCTTTCCTTGAAGAAATCTTTTTGTGTACCTCTCTTCTGGGATTCTGCCTGCAATTCATCGTCCATCTCGAAGAAATCGGCAAAGTTTGCATTAGCGCCAGCCTCGTCATCGTCCGAATCATCGGCAACTCCAAAATCTTCCGCAAAATGATTAATTGCTTCTATGTCCTCTACCGGCTTCTTGTTCTTTTGTTTTCGCATCTCTTTTGCATCTTCCTGCTCCAAAAACTGTGCCATTTCGTCCAGCTTGAAAAATTTATCATCTACCACAGAGCCTTTGCCTTTTTTGCCATATTTTGGCTTAACTTGCTTGGACCTTGACTGGGTCTTTCCTTTATTTTCATCGCCAGAATCCTCCAATTCAGATTCTTGCTCATCATTTTCGGTTACCTCTTTATCGCTATCTTGCTCGCTAAGGTTTTCATTTGGATCCTCTTCTTCGTCCAGCTCGATGCCCAAATTCTGCTCCCCAATTGCTAGAAATTGAGCGGTTTGTTTTATAAGCTTTTCCAACATCAAATTGTTGCGTATTTCTAGCTGTTGCCAGATCTGTTCGTCGTCCATATCCTCCAACACAATTTCAGAGGGAATGTCTCCATTTTTATCCACATCGCTAGTGAGACAAACGTTGTAAGTTTGCTTTATTAGCTGATGTATGGAATCTATTGATTCCGGCTGCGGCCTGCAACAAAAACAATTTCATATTAGCAACACGTGCACCGTTAAGGTTGAACTAAAACTTACTTTAGATAGCGATCCGGTTGTTTCACTAACTGTTCAAATCGGTTTGCTATTTCCACAAATGTATTTGTCTTGGTTTTTTTCTTTGCCTTAACACTGCCTGCCATATTGAGATCGGGAACTCGAAATTAAATTAATTTAAGAAGAGCCTCAAACAAAATGCACAATACTACTCAAAATGGTTAAACATGCAAAATGAACCAACAAACTTGAACTAGATGAACACTTCGTTCGCTCAGCGGAGCATGAACTATGAAATGAATAGGGAAATTTAAATACTGCGCCATCAGAAAAGTAAATTATGTCTCCTTCGAAATATATATTTTAATATTGAAATTAATTAAACGCAAATATACTCCTTTTTCTGAACGCATGTCCCCATATTTTGTATTGCTTAGGTTTTCCATGTTAGATGTCACATATGGAACTAGCTAATTCTAACGGATTATTTAATAATAAGCAGTTGCCTGCCATTTTTTTAACAATGATTTAAATAACAAATTAAATAAAAATTACCAATATATATCTTTTTTATAAATTTATTGAAACTAGTTAACAGCAGCCAGTTCTTAATTTCGCACACCTGGAACAGTGTACTGTCTTTTATCGATAACAAACTACAAATCTATCTGTTGTCTCTAACAACCGAGACAGATGTTATTTTAAAAACACCGTCCACAAGTACAGGAGTTATTTGAAAATTATTATGTTTCTGGTCTGAATAATCAAAACAATTTTCAGTCATGAACTCCAATTACTACAAACTACTTTTGCTGGGCGGCGCCGTGCGTTTATATTTCAGCCAAACGTCTTTAGCTCCGCTTATCGGGAATCGCGTTGAATTTGCCACTCCTTTAAACTCTTTTAAGCGCCGTAAGTACGCCGATATGCCGGAAAATATATATACATATCCATGTGTGAAAATGTGTCTCTTCATTTTGCATTTTTTCAGTGCAAGAGGGCGTATTCCTGCTTCAGCAAGGTGTGGATCCGTACAGAGGAGATTTGGTGCATGAGTCGCCACTGCTTTTGAAAGCCCTCTCCGGCATTTTGATAAACTATGCTCAAGTGCTCCCACTACTATATATACTCTTAGACTTGTGCACGGCCACGCTGCTATATTTGCTCGGCATTACGTTTGTGAAGCAAAAGCTGCAACAGCAAAAAGGAGAATGCGAAGATTACGCCAAGGATACAGAAGAGCTACAGTATAACGATGAGGACAAATCCCACATAGCGGAGCTGGTGCTATTGGCCTATCTATTCAATCCACTGACTATAATGAGCTGCATAGGACTGACCTCCACAGTGCTGAGCAATTTACTGCTAGCATTGATTCTATACTCAATGGTTAAGCGCCAGCTATTGATCTGCACCGTTCTGCTGGCCTTCGAGACAGTTCGCAATCTTTATCCGTTTGTTCTGATTGCGCCGTTGATCTTACTCTTTGCTCGCCGTTCTGTCCCTATGGGCATCGCCATATTTATGATATTTGTTACCTCTTGCTTTGCTGTGGCTGGTGCGAATTTCTTGGTGATGAATAGCTGGAATTATCTAGATGGCACACTCGGATTTATGTAAGTGACTGAATCGATTTCGGTTAAAATCGGACAATTAATATATTCATTGCTGCTTTCAGCTTCTTCTTTCGTGATCTACAGCCCAATATTGGTCTGTTCTGGTACTTCTTTACAGAGATGTTTGAGCATTTCCGCACCATGTTTCTGATTACATTCCAATTAAATGCCACCGTTTTGTATTTGGTTCCATTGTCCTTGAAGTTGCGCAAGGAGCCCCTGCTGCTGGCCACCGTGCTCATTGCGCTCATGGCGGTCTTTCGTGCATATCCTAGTCTAGGCGATGTTGGATTCTATTTGGCTTTATTGCCGCTGTGGCGTCGTTGCTGGAAGTGTGAGTACAACTCGCATTTGGCACTCAAATGCAACTGAATCTTATTCAAATATCCTCGTTTCCCTCTAGTCATGGCCCATGGATTTGTCGTGTTTACTTTCTTTCTGATAACGCTATCCATGATGGGCGCCTTTTGGCATTTGTGGATCTATGCCGGCTCTGCTAATGCCAATTTCTACTTTGGAGCCACCCTCGCCTTCAGCACGGGTCAAATATTCCTAATTACGGATTTGCTGTTCGCGCACGTGAAGCGCGAGTTCTGTCTCTACAATGGGCAGAAGATTATGATTAATGGGGAAGAGGCGCGTATTTTACTAGAATAAGCCGTTTATGAAGAATTCACCAATTAAAAGAATGAATTTATTCAACTAATATGTTTAATCATGAATTATTGTGTCGAGTATCCGGTTTTAGTCTTCCGGTTGAGGAATCTGTACAAATACAAAATACGCTTCTGCATATCCTTCCACTTGGTCGGACGGGCAATCGGGTATTTGGTTTTCTCCAGCAATCGACGCTTGCGCAGCAGCACTTGGTACTCATTACCCGAGACGCCACGCAGCCAGG